TTACATTTATTGATTTACAAATGTTGAACCATCCTTGCATCCCTGGGATAAATCCAACTTGGTCAGGGTGTATGATCTTCTTGATGACCCTCTGTATTCTGTTTGGCAGTATCTTGTTGAGGATTTTTTCATCTATGTTAATTAGGGAGATTGGTCATTAGTTCTCTTTTTGTGTTGGGTCTTTCCCTGTTTTTGAAATCAAAGTAACACTTGCTTCCAGGAAAGAATTTGGAAGCCTTCCTTCCCTTTCAATTTCCTTGATGAGTTTAAAGAGTAATGGCAATAGTTCTTTAATTGTCTTGTAGAATTCAGCAGTGAAGCCATCAGGACCCGGGCTTTTCTTTGTTGGTAAATATTTTTATTACATCTTCAATTTCACTCATTGTTATTGAGGTGTTTAGAATTTCTATATCTTCTTCATTTAAGTTTGCCAATTTGTATGTATCTAGGAATCTGTCCATTTTTTCTGTGTTTTCCATTTTATTAGAGTACAGATTCTCAAAGTAGATATTGATGATCCTCTGAGTTTCTGCTGGATCTGTTGTGGCTTCACCTTTTTCATTCTTAATTGCATGGATTTGAGCCTTTTCTTTCCTTTTTTTGATAAGGTTGGCTAAAGGTTTATCAATTTTATTTATTCTTTCAAAAAATCAGCTCTTCGATTAATTGAATTTTTGTATTGTTCTCTTAATCTCCATTACAATGATTTCTGCTCAGATCTTTGTAATTTCCTTTCTTATATGAGCTTTGGGTTTGTTATGCTCTTCTTTTTCTAGGAGCTTGAGGTTCTGCATTAGTTTGTTTATCTGAGTTCTCTCTTTTCCTAATATGGGCATTCAGTAGTATTCACTAATATGGGCATTCCCACCTGGAACTGTTTTCATTGTGTCCCATAGATTCCCATATGTTATACTGGATTGTCATATACTTGTAGAACTGTCTAATTTCTTCTTTAGTTTCCTCTGTGACCCATTGGTTGTTCAGGTGAGTGTTATTCAATTTCTATGTGTTTGTGGGAGTTTTGTGGTTTCTTATGTTATTGATCTCCAATTTTATTGCACTAGGGTCTGATAATATACAGGGAATAATTTCAATTCTTTTACATTTACTTAGAGATGTCCTATGAGCTAGCATGTTGTCTATTTTGGAAAATGACCCATGTGCAGCTGAAAAGAATGTGTATTCTGATTTTGTGGGCTGGAACACTGTGCAAATATCTATTAAGTCCATTTGTTCAATATCTTGGTTCAGTTCTAGAATTTCATTGTTCATTTTTTGTCTAGATTTGTCTATTTGTGACATTGAGTTATTGAGGTCCCCACTATAATTGTATTGGTGTTTATTTGGTTTTTCATGTCCATTAATATTTGTTTTGTATATTTGGGGGCATTTGTATTTGATGCATATATATTTAGGATTGTCATCTCTTCCTCTTGGATTGTTCCCTTCACAAGGATGTAGTGAACATCTTTGTCTCTCTTAATTAGTTTTGGTTTGAAACCTACTTTATGTGCAAATAAGATTGCTACCCCTGTTTTTTTCCAGGTTCCTGTCACGTGAAGACTGCTTTCCATCTTTTTACTTTCAATCTATCAATTTCTTTTTGAGTTAGGTGTGTTTCTTGTATACAGGATATTGGTGGATTTTGCTTTTCAATCCATTCTGTCAGTCTATTTCTTTTTATTGGTGAATTGAGGCCATTAACATTCATAGTTATAATTGAGAGATATTGACTCATCTCTGTCATGATGTTTTACTGTTATTTGCTCTTTTTTTCTTATTTTTCTCCCTTTTTATTTAGTTTCTTGCCATGCCTGGTGGCTTCCCTCTGTTGGGCCTCATGGAGCTGTGATCGTCATTGTTTTTTTCTAGGATATTGCTTAGAATTGTTTGGAGTGCTGCTTTGGTGTTCATGAAATTTTTCAAATGTTCTTTGTCATGGAAGTATCTAATTTCCCCATCAATTTTGAAAGATAATTCTGCAGGATACGGCAGTCTAGGTTGGAAGTTATTTTCTTTTAGGGCTTGAAATACTTCACTCTTGGCTCTCCTTGACTTGAGGGTTTATATTGAGAAATCTGCCATGATTCTGATGGGCTTTCCTTTGTAGGTGATTTATTTCTTTTCTCTAATTGCTTGTAGGATTTTCTTTTTCTGTTGGGTTTCTGGGATCTTGACTATTATATGTCTAGTTGTAGATTTTTTTTTTATCATACCTAGTTGGAGTTCTATATGCCTCACTTATCTGTATGTCCAATTCTCCACCTCTGTCTGGGAACTTTTCTACTATTACTTCCATGAACAGTTTTTTTTTATGTCAGTTGTACTTTCTCCTTTTTTTTGTGGACTCTTCTTTGAATCATCTAACAGCTGCCAGATTGATTTCTCATGGTCCTTTCTATTTTTAAGAAATATGTGTTTTCATGGTCCTTAACCACAATCCTGTCTTCTATATCTGATATTCTATCCTCAGATTCTCTTAATCTGCTCTGCATGGTTTCAATGGAGTTTTTTATCTCTTGAATATCTGTTTGAATCTGTTTCATGGATTCCATTTATTTCTTATGCTATGGTGGGCATTCATGGCTTCCAGCACATTTCTGA